GTATATGGGGCGTTGGATGTCTGCAGACGTGTCCCCTGTCCCAATCAGGTCAGCCAAAGGGGAGCTCCTGTTCAGTTTGGTTTTCTGGACCTGGATGGATGCAGGGGTCATTTGGATGTAAACTGACTTTTGTGCCGGTTTAGATCCAGCTACCCATAGATCAATATTGGGCTTCTGATCAGATCTGCCTGAAAAACTGTCTGGGGGACCTGATCAGACTACCTGTGTGAAAGAGGCCTTGGTAAGACCTAGTGCCAACTCCTGGACATGGTGCTCCTCAGACTGAAGATAGGAGCATTTACCCTACAGGTATCTGTACTTGGACCAAGGTTAGGAAAGCAGATTTGATTGGCTACTTGGGTCTTTTTCTACCATCAATGTTTCTATCTTCTGCTAGGAAAGGACAGGGCGATTGTTTTCCACTTCATTTACTGCACTGAAATAAACCAGCTATAAAGTATCAGACTTGAGCACTCACTGGCTGCACAAGGGATAACTAGAATGTACACTATATCAAATTTTACTCTGAAAATTGCACATGGGAGCTGTTTTAACTGGCAGGATTTTTATTTTCAATTAGTTCTAAGATTAGTCCTGCCAGCATGGTGACCCAGCTTTTTCTCTACTACAGTTGGCACAATACAGCTAGGTCACCTCTTGGCTCCAGGTTATATCTAATGGTGGTTATAAACCTGAAGTTGCAAGGGCATAGACTGGGCCTCCAACAAACCGAGAACATTGTAACAACTGCCCTAACAATCTATACGGCCACTACATGCCTTGTGGTTTATGGTTTCGCATAAACACAGGAATTTCCCGTTTAAGTGACTAAAGCAATCACGTGACTCCAAACCCCCCCCCCGGAATGTGACACATGACTTGCAATTCTGCTAGGTAATCATTTGAAAGACTTGAACACTTGGCTTCTCTGTATGTTATAGTACAAGTTAATTTTTTTTTGTTAAATCTTTGCCTAGTATCTCCAAACTTCGTACAGCTTGTGCTAGGCTAGCACTAGTGCTGTGGTAACTGCATTTTGCACTGTTTATCCATGGTTTTGATCTTTCTTTTGGCCAATGACTAGCAATATCTACTGGTACATCATTGGGGTTCTTTTGAGGACTTTTTTTTCAGCACCAAAAGCATGTACCTTTTTTTTGGGGGGGGTTTTGTATGCAATCCCATTTTAGATCCAACGGTGCCAAACTGCAATGTGTAGCCCCAAAGAAAGCACAGCCTCTTGTTGCAGGGATGTGAACAGTCTCATTTCAGAATGTGATTTCCATACTCATGCATTGTAGAATGGTGGCAGACGCAGGACAAATTGCACTTGTGTGAACAGGCACTGATAATTTATGATCTTCAAGTAAAAGCGGCATCAAGCAATATTTACAGTTTTATCTTGATTGTGTCATGCCGGTATGTACACTGCATCAGAAGCAATTCCAGCAGGCCTGTTGTGAGGCAATTACAGGTTATACTGTTTGAACAGTCAGATTGTACTGAGCCTATTGAAAGCATGCAAATGCTTTATAGAGGGAACATTGAGGAAGATATTAGTCATAACTAGGTTTTATTGTCCAGATTTGAGTGGTAATGTAAAAGTGAAATATTTGCGTATATATACGGTTATCACATTTTTGTGGGGTCGAGCATTTTTTAAAAAGACATGAAGCAGTAGGTCAGTGGCATTAATTCAGCATTTATCGAGGTTGGTACTAACCAGACAACCCTGCTGGGGGTCCTTACGACAGTCTGATTTTATTCATGTGCTTAAAACCCTTTTTCAGAAAGAGGGGGACCTATTGCTGTTAGTGCTTTAAGTGTTGGCTAGAGTTGAGCTTTCATTTGTTTGGTACCCAAAGTCTAAAAAAAAACCCGGCTTAAAACAACCCAATCCACATGGTGACAACACAGCTGTGCAACGTCACTGCAGAATGAACAGTGCTGTCACTTGAAATGGAAACCCCAATGATAGGATCCATATGTAATATAAATGTTAAAGGGGGAAGAACAAACTGCTTTTAATGCTAGTAATGGACTGCACCATATGCAATTTATGAATTGACTGACTTAAAGGAGAACTATGAGGTAAGTGATTTACACATCCTCATAGTTGGAGCCGACGTCTGACAATGAAACGGTCACACGTCGGCTCTATAGATCATTAAGTGAGTAAACGCATACCGTTGCTTGTTCACTCCCTGATCATCTCCCTGCAGAGTGGTGACTGCCAGGCAGGGATTCTCCCCCCCCCCTCTCCGCTTACTGAATGGGAGGGGACGATGGGCACAGCTGGCTGTCCCTCTAGATAGCCAGAGCCCGCTGTCAATTAGCCAGCTGGGTGGATCTTGACAGCATTGTCTGGATCTGTCCTGGCTGCAGCGCTCAGTATTGCCTGCTATATACTGAGCTTTGAGTCACAGGAGGAGGTTGGTGTATGTACTCCTGTGACCCTAAAGAGAACTATGGGATAAGCTTACCCCCATAGTTCTCTATTAAAGGCTGAAATATGGAGATCCGATTGCAGACTTGTCTGAAGGTGCAAGTTCCAGGGCTACTCTTAAACTTTCATTACTTGGTGAGCCTCTGACTTGAACAAACTTGTGTATGTTGGTTTTGGAATGTAATTGTGTAATCTTGTATACTTGTGTTAATAGGCCCTAAGTAGTGATACCTTCTAATCGGGTAATATGAGAAATGTGTAGCCTGCCATCGCTAACCTGAATGTGCTAGGTGGTGCCCGGCCTTCCCTGGATTCAGTAGTAAATGGTCAGGACTTCTGATCTTCTCGTATGTTCTGGAGCTGAAATTCAAAGCCGCTGGATGAGCAAGGCAACCAGAATAATCACAGGTAGAGCCCAGACATGTCGGGCCTAATATTTTTGTTGGCACAGCTATATTTTGTAAGAAATCCTTGTACCAGCCCTTTGACTAAGTCTTAACTTTTTTTTTCCTTGTTTTGTGCTGTCCACATCCATCTCCAAGAGCGGGGAAATTTGAACAGTGTCCACGTTTTTTTCTTTCACATTTTTCCAAGCTTGCTTATGTTTGTGTACTAGATTTAGGAGAATTGTAGATCAGCCATGAGGGCAAAGTGACATGTTTCAACCTTTTGAAATAAGATCAACCAGAGCAAAACCATTGTGCACCACTACTGCACAGCATGAAGTAGAGCCTGTCTATGTAACACGCAAATATATGGAATGCCTTAAGTACATGACAAATAAACAGGGTTATAACCTTCCCTAAACAAACTAATTGCTGACAAATCATTAAGGCCATTTTTTAAACATAGCAAATGTTGGTGACTAATTTACTGTTGCAACTCTGGTTTTTAGATGGTAGCTCAGTCCCCCCCTCCAATCACTAAAGTCTCAAGCTTTAACATGGTAATGCCCTTTCAAGTCTCATTTTTTACATCTATAGCCTTCATTAAAATACCTGATGATCCTGATATAAATGTCCTTGTTCTGCTACTTGTCACCCTGTCATATACTTGGTGATAATACTTCCCATGTCCAGTGGAGACTATAGGCGCTGTACCGGTGCTTACTACACAGGTATGTTATTAGAAAGCCTGTTCTGAGCAATGACCAGCAGCTGCTATAACACATCCATGTTGATGGGAAGCAGCTGCAGGAGATTGGCAGCACTGACATGCAACAAAGGATGAAAAGGTGAGAAAGTAATTGCTGGTGTGTTCGCCCGGTAGGGTTTACATCGGCTTTCAGGATTAGCAGCAAACTGGAGTATTGCAAGATTTGACAAGCATTGACCAGGCAGTTCATATCCTATTTTACTGGAAAGTCGCTACTATATTTGCTAACTCCAGACTTTGGAAGAAAAAAAAAATAGGATGTTGCTGATTGACACATTAGGCATTTTGGGTAGTTTTATTGAAACTAATGAATGGCATTTGTATGAAATTGTGACTGCAGCTGCCTTTTGTAGTAGTCATGTGAGATAAAGGTTTGGTCATGCTCCAGTCCTGTGACTTGGTACCACATTCCAGTGAACTGCTTGTCCAGTGGTGGTGATCAAATCTGAAAGAAGAAAACTCCCACAATGCATATTTGTTCTACTCAGCCTCTCTAGATGGTAAGGCAAAGAGTAGGATGACATGCTGGAAGCCTCCACATTTAACATACTGACAATGGCCGCTTCCAAACTTGTCCACAAAGGTTCCTTAATAAAAAAAATACTGTAAAACATGATTTAATAGCCATGCGTAGAGTATCTCAAAGCGTACATGTACCTTTTTTGTCTGCAAATGCCGCGTGGATGTCACCCCCTTGAAATCAATGGGGCTGTGCGGAAATTGCTGCCTGCATTGTACAGGACTGCGTGATCCCGGGTGTAGTGCAGGTGTGAACCTAGCCTTAGGGTGATTTTACTGTGTCCCACCAATTCCTCCTTCCTGCTTTTGCATCAACCTGCCTATTATGCCTCTAACCTAAACTTGAACACACTGAAAGAGCTCTCCAGAAAGTGGTGCAAGCCATTTTTAAGTCCCTACTTTTAAAGGACTGCTAAATTTTAGTCGCCCTGAGACAGTTGCAGCACTTGTACAATGTGTTGTGTTATCAGTCTGTCCCTTCAGGTGGTGATATAGGGGTAGAGAAATTCTAGTAGGTAGTTTTGAAACTCTGAATGCATCTGAGCACCTGGACGTAAATTAAAAACCAGTTTGGGTACGACTAATTAAGCTTTAGTTTTATGGAAAATACAAGTTTTCTTTTAAACCTGTAGAAGGTGAAGAACGCCTGGTCATTGTTGCAGTGCATTGGTATCTCTTGCATGCAACACGGAGTGAAGGTCTGTCTGTCTATACACTTTTTACTGATTTCTACTGTTGGGAGATTTATTTGGATGCTGCTAAGTACTGTAGCACCCCTCGTATTGTCCTCTTCCATGTAATGGGACTAAAGTGTGAACTGTAATGGCTGTCTGTCTTTCCATGACCATACTGACTGTTTCCTTTTTTACTCTCTACACAGCATTGGGGGCAGCCTATGGAACGGCGAAGAGTGGCACAGGTATTGCTGCCATGTCTGTCATGAGGCCTGAGCTGATCATGAAGTCCATCATTCCTGTTGTCATGGCTGGTATCATAGCTATCTATGGACTGGTAGTGGCAGTGCTTATTGCAAACTCTCTCACACCAGCAATCTCATTATACAGGTGGGTTTGTTATTTATACACTGTGCTCAAATCTCTTACATGGAATATGTGCTGTTTTCTGGGACACGGGCTCATGATTTTGTCAACCTACAATGGTGCATGCACACGCTAAAAATCTGTCAATAACTGAGGCCATTTCAGCAAGCCTTGAGAGGTCTTAAAGTATGACGGCACTAAACCACTCCCAACACTTCTCAGCTAAACACCCTCTTAAAGTGCTTGCTTATTTTAGTACTACATTCGCAGACTGTTTTTACACCACTTTTACTATACTCCTTTGAACTCCTTTGAACTTTTGGACTTGTATGAGCTCATCTCCTGGAATTGGAGTGATTTGAGTGGTGATCCTATATTTTGTGCAGACATGGCAAGCATAGATGAAGAGGACTTTGGTCTGGAGGAGGTTAACAGAAACATGTCCCGGAGCAGGCTATGGCTGTTGTCTGAAGTAAACTGGGGTGGTGGGTGAGGTTCTACTATAGCTTTGTGCTACGGAGGGTCATAAGTAAAATTGCAGACAGTGCTGGAATTTGAGTCAGGCTTTTATCTCGTTGGCATTTTTCGATCTACTAGATGTGAGATTATTGCTTAATCAGAAGTATTTATTAGCAGTTATTGCTGCACTGGACCAAATCCTTATATTTGAACTGGTGAAAATTGTTGCTGAAAGTGTAGAGAAAATACCAAAGGTAGGTGTCCTCATGACGAGTAGTAAGGGGAGATCTTCAAATGGGGACATGTCTAGGGAAGGTTTCTTTTGTTGTGTTTTTTACAGGAAGTGAATGGAAACGTCTGCAATAACCTGGCAGGGGTTTTAAAGGAGAACTATGAGGTGAATGCTTTTCACTCAGCCTCATAGTTCTAGCCGACCTGTGACAATGAGACTGTCACAGGTTGGATCGGGAAGTGAGCGAACACATACCGGTGTTCGCTCACTTCTCGATCCTGTCACGGCAGAGCCTGACTGACAGAACGGATGGGTGAGGGGGCGGTTACAACTGCCTCTAGATAGGCAGAGCCAGCTGTCACTCGTGCAGCTGGGCGGATCCAGACATAATTGTCAGGATCCGTTTCAGCAGCGGCGTCTCGGTATACCGCGAGCTGTAGCCTTCTGGTGTAAACCCGCACAGCTGAGCACTTTCAGTTTGTGTGACCAGTGTTATCTTGATAGGTGAACAATGGCAAATGGCTGGGGAAAATCATCCTGTGACATTCTTCCACAATTTGATTGCTGTTAAGGTGTCTACAGGTCAAAGGTAATGCACATATATCTGACCTTTAAGCCATGGGATAGTTCAGAAGTTGTATTCTTTGGTATCATTTTGGATATTTTATGACCTGAATGCAGCAGGTAGATTGTAAAAATGTATGTGATCTGCCTACAGATGAATGTACGGTGTCCTTGGCTTCAGTGTTCAGATACAGTATGTAGGGGAAACTTCTGGAAAGTAATGCATTGTATATAGATTCTACTTCTGTAATTCTAACAAGAATTGTGCTTTAACATTTATGGTCCCAGGACGCTAAGGTAATGTGAAGTCTATTTCCTTTTGATATTCTTTAAGCTGAAACTAACTTTCGTTTCTCTTTCCTTGTCTAGGAGCTTCTTACAGCTAGGTGCCGGCCTCAGTGTAGGATTAAGTGGTCTTGCCGCTGGGTTCGCCATTGGCATTGTTGGGGATGCAGGTGTGCGGGGAACAGCACAACAGCCCCGACTATTCGTAGGCATGATCCTGATCCTCATTTTCGCAGAAGTCTTGGGTCTGTACGGTCTGATTGTGGCCCTTATCCTCTCCACAAAATAAAAAGAAGAAATTTCTTCCCCACGTTCCAGAAATCGCCACTTACAAAAAAAAATGGTTTTATCATGTGTACAGTCATCCTTCACCCACCCTGATTCAGTAGATTCTTTTCCCTCTCCCCTGTAACTGCGCAATTGTAAGTTAGTGACTGTTGTGTGTAACCCTCTAGCTATATTCATTGGGTGGACTTCAGGGCAATAAGGAGTCCTGATTCCAGTGTTGTGGGAAGGAAGCAGGCATCACTTCCACAAATCACAAGACTCCCTCTTCTGCGTGCAGTGTTTATTTCTCTTCCCATATCTTCTGTGGATGTTTCCTAACAAAAGTACCATGTAAAAATATGATCTAGAATTGTAATTTCCTTCTTGCCATTCAATGTTTTATTTATAAATATAAAATCTTCATTGTTCATACTTTAAAACAAGAGCCAGCTGTTTCTTTTCCTCTTGTAACTTGTCCCACCCCTTCCCTTTGCTGCATATATATATTTAATCTATAGCTGTATATTTGTGTGGGGTTTCCTTGTAAGTGCTGAGAATTCCCTGGATGTACTTTGGTTCGAGATTGCTGTACTGTTCTGACATTGGAGTGAGGTCTCAATATATATATATTTTTGTTCTAGTTTTTTTTTGTTTTAATACAAAGAGATTGATTACCGTCCGTGTTCAACTGGTGACCAGAATATTTTAAAAGCAAAACCTTAACATATGGTGAAGATGAACCCACTGCTGGGAATCGATTACACATTTCCAAATAAAACCTCTCCAATACACTGAAGCTGTCATTGTTTTCAAGGGGTTGAAGCCTGTTTGCTTCAGACATTGTCCTGCAGAAGTGGTTTCATTTACATTCCTTTCATGTGTTGATGGGCAGAAACTACACGGGTTCAGGTGGTTGTCTTGTGTTAGTAAAATCTGCTGCAACAAGTCTTCATTAAACTAAGCTCCAGTCATGAAATGTTCATAGAATTCCTCTTATCAGCAAAGGATATACATGAGTGTCAGATGCCCTGAGAACCCAGATGTAAAAGTAGTGATAGAATAGCTGTGCTGCACATGATTTTTGGAGGGGCACAGCAGGTCCTCCTGCTACAGTCTGGCTGCAGGAAATCACAACTGGATAGAGACCAGACTGGACACACACACACACACACACACACACACACACACACACACACACACACACACACACACGTGTGTGTGTCTTCATTAAAGGAAGCACAGATGTTAAATTAATAGTGATAAAATAGCTGTGCTGCACGTGGCCTGTGTAGGGAGCAGAGCTGTGAAAGGGGCACTGCAGGTCCTACTACCAAAGACTCTGTAGGAAACCACAGGAGGGTTGATACTAGACCAGTCGCCCTGCACAAGCAAAGAGCAGCCAGGGACTGGTCATTACAGGAAGCCTCTGCACAGAGGGAAGTGCAGGTGTTTCATGCTGAATGTAACTGATCTACAAAACCACAATAGCCAAGGATTTCACATTTAACAAATGGGAGGCACCTAATGTTGGTGAAAATGATGTCTAAAAGCCTATAGGCCATAGGCATGTTTTAGGAGCATTTCTTCATTGCCTACCTACTCTGAAAAATTTGAGTAGGGATATGAATGTGAAACTGTTCCTTGAAAAATACAACCATTGGTGGCCATTTTGAATGAAGTCTCTTTCGAAGACATACTTTGCATTATGATCACACGCATTATAACTTTTTACTCCTTTCCAGAGTTTCTAGTGCTGCTGTCTGGTACATCTGGTCTTGCGCTTCATGGGTAGGAGTGGAATCCATTTTAGCCCAATTCTTTGGCACAAAGTACTGATGTAAGGGTCCTGTCTTTAGTACTTCCAGATGCCCTAAACCAGGTATGCCTGTCTGAAGGTAAAGCTTCTAACATGCATACTTGTCCAGCAAGTTAGAAAGGCTGACTTGTCAGTCATAGTATCTGCAGAAGGAAGCCCAACCTCAATACCTGGGCTGGGCAAACTGGCCCTTCAGGTACTGTGGAACTATAAACCCCATTGCAGTGCAAGAGTCTTACAGCCACAGGCTGTATTTTCACCAGGGCCGGAGTTTGCCCACCCCTGTGCTATATCAAGCTTTGCTGTTGGTTTTAGAGGGTTAAGGAACCTATTCATGCTGCAAGAACCATGTATGTAGCTGCATGAAATATCATAACAAGAAAGCCCATCTGTTCCTATGTGGCTGCTTCACAGCTATGCACTGCGGTTTAGTGTGAAATGTAAACTATGGGCCTATTCACACCTATGTATGTACATTGCAATGTAGGTGGAACAGTGTGAATCCAGCCGCTGTGTTTAGTGTACTGCTGAGGGTAGAGGTAAGGTTCTGCCTGAAGGGCTGAATTTCCAGCAAGATCCCTATAGTGACAACAGCGCCTGATTCTACTTTAAGGTAGTCCTGGAGCTACCATGTTTCAGTGGCCCCAGACTGTGCCGGGATTACTGCTGCAAGTCAAATGACCAAAATCCGAACTCTGGGCTGTCTTAAAGGAATTTGTTTCCCTAGGCTGACATGTAGGAAAGCTTACTGACCCCTCTCTTGCTCTGGTTTGAGTTTCTGTTAAAAGGTGGTCGTGCTATCAAGTCACTGCTGGTAAAGGAACAAGATGAAACTCTACCGCTGAAAGGGCTTTCAACTGAACTTTGGGACTGAATTATGCCTGAGTACCTGCAGCTACAAATATTGATGTTTTAAAGCTTTATTACTGCTTGTGCAAAATATATCAAATTTACTGTTAATAGGCCTGGTCTACCTAAAGTTTGATTTCTTCCGGGTGAGTGACCCATTAAACCAGATGGTCAATGTTAAAGCCAGGCAACAGTGGATATACTGTTAGGGATGGGCTTGTTTTATTTCTGTCCCATTGCCAAGTCACAGCTTCAACTAGAGAAAAGCAATCCCCCTGAATTTCATCTGTTTGGTTTTAGGTAACAGCCAGCCAATGAGCATTTCTGGGACAATCACAGTGGCAGCCTCCATAGGTCTCACAATGGGTTCTTTACAATAAAACAAATGTCTAATCTGTTACATGGCATTAAATGCTCAGACTTTTGTTTTTCAATAATGAATCTGGACCAATATACATTGCCCAGCAAAGAGTTTTATGTAAATTTTTTACAAGTATTTCTAGTCAGTGTTTCCAAACTGCTTCAACTCTCTCAGCTCTGCTTCCCTGAACTTCCTGTCCTGTACAAGATCACAAGGGATCAAGCAGACCAAGCCATCCATGTGCTAGCTTGGAGAAGGGTGCAGAGAGCAGGAGAGTGGTTTGCCTTACTGTGCCTCTGTGTGTGTGGTAACAGAGTGGCTCCAAAGACCCTGCAAGGTAAAGGTGTCCCCCTAAAACAGGGTATTAGGGGACCAGCTGATTCTACAGGAAATGTAAAACTTTTAAACTTCAAAGAGCAGCATCCATTGTAAGTGATTTAATCCGCATTTAAAGTAACTTAAAAACTTTTTTGACTTTAATATCACTTTCAGAATACAACACTGATTCTGGTGTACATCTCTGGCATGACATGTGTACCCCCCCAGCCGTCCCCATGACTAAGCTGAATAAGGGTTTAAGAATGGTCATGTGTAAGGCCCCATTCACACTGAGCGACATGAAAATCGTGTGATTTTCTGCGTGCGATATTGTGTGACATCGTGTGACTTTTTCCTATTGGGCTGTATGCAATCAGGAGCAAAAAGGGTCATGTAGGAGCGTCAAGCTACAAGCGATATTGAGCGGCGAGATGTGAACAGCTCCATTGAAATGGATTGGAGAAGCTACATAGAGCGATATCGCTGCAAAAATCGCTCAGTGTGAATGGGGCCTAGGATGGGATATGTGTACCGAGCTGCTCCAGCCATCGTCTACAGGTTGAATGAAACGGGTAGTACAGAATGTGAGCACTGAGCATAGGGACTCTGGTCCTACATCAGGGTCACTGATATGAACCTCCTATATTAATACTAGGTACCGGAATGATTGCCCATGGCCTTCAAGCATGCAGCTGAAATTTGAAAGTGGCTGTAAAGAAATCTTTCACGCTCTTGTAATGTGTAAAAGCTGCTATTGCAAAATTGCTTTTAAAAGTACAAGTTCCAGGACAGCCGTAGTCCTTGTTTCACTATATTTGGGGTCTGTACCCCCAGAACTATGTGCCTATCAGGTGTCTTGATGTCACCGGCTACATTTCCCCCCCCCCCCCCCTCTAAATCGGTTCTTCACAAAGCAACTTGGCTAAAGGCACCAAACCAGAAGCGTCAGGCTTCAATAAGTTGCTGTTTAGAGTTCCCTTATGGCCAAATTCCCTAAAATGAAATCTGGGCTGAGGTAAAGTCCGTACAAAGAACAATGGACAAGAATGAATCCTTATACAAACTCTACTTCCTCCTTTCCAGACTTCTGCCCTACAGAGTATCACTGTGTTCCTGTTGGTCATTCTCTCTGATTCATGGATGGTATAGGGTTGTACTATGTAGGCAAAGCCATTGATATAGTTAGCCGTCCTTTGTTTATAGGGTTAGATCAGGGGTGGGCAAACTCTAGCCCCCCCCCCAGCCATTGTGCTGGTACTACAAATCCCATGAGGCATTGCAAGATTCTAACAGCCACAAACATGACTTCCACAGACAGATGCATGATGAGATTTGTAGTTTGACCACAGCTGGAGGGCAGAGTTTGCCTACCACTGGGTTAGAGGATACATTGGCACTATGGCCAGTTAAAAGAGAACTATGGGGTAAGTGTTTTTTTCCCCATAGTTCTCTTTAGGGTCATGGGAGGTCATATACTAACCTCCCGTGACCCAAAGCTCAGTATTTAGGGGGCTATTGCCCGTGATATGCTGGGACGGATCCTGACAATGCTGTTGAGATCCACCCAGCTGCATGAGTGACAGCTGGCTCTGCCTATCGAGAGGCAGAGCCAGCTGTGCCCGCCCCTTCCCAGTCCGTTCCTCCAGTCAGTGCTGGGGGATCGGAGAGGGCAATCCCTGTGGGCAGCCATGACTGACGGAGACCGCTCTCTGCAGGGAGATGATCGGAAAGTGAGCGAGCGGCGGTACGCGTTCGCTCACTTCCCAAAAAAATATTGCCGACGTGTGACAGCTTCTTTGTCACAGGTCGGCTCGAACTATGAGGATGAGTGCAAATCACTCCCCTCATAGTTCTCCTTTAATTAGGTCTTTTTGGGGAGTGTGACAGTTTGCAATGCCGGAGAGCACTGTACACCTGACCTCTGACCTTACGCTTTATAGATCCAACAACTGATATTGAATGCGTTACAATGCAGGAACACCACGTCAGTTTTACTTTCCCCTAGTGTGACTATTAGGCCTCAGTCACACGGATGTGTGCATCCATGCAGAAACCTGCACCTGGGAGGCACAGGAAGGTGCTCTGTGCACATCTCTGACAGGATGCAACTACACGCCAATCTGAACCTGCACATCTGTACAGATATAGGTGTGTGAGGACGGGTCGGCATGCAGCCACATCCTGTCATAGAGACGCCGCACCTGTCCCTCTGGGGTCCAGGTCTCTTCATGGACGAGCACATCCATGTAAATGAGGCCTTATACTATAATTGTGACTACGGAGGAGTTTGCTGCTTCCTTTTGACCATGCAAAGGTTATATTTGTATCCCGGTAATTCTGAGGCGTCTTCAGTCTGACATCTGGAAAACCGAGCACAGAAGCGGAGCACAATATTGCATCTTCTATGGGCAGCTTTCTGTTTAGCTCTGCGGTGAGGAATAGTACAATATTCTGTGCTTAGGAGAGCAGGACGACTGACCCATAGCAATGTGCATAATGCATGTTACATGGCTAGCCGTGCATATGATGGATGGATGAGTCATGGACCCAATACTGCAACTCTACTCTGGTTGTCAGGCCTTTGATATAGATGGGTCTCATCAATGGAGTCTCTGGGTCTCCCCTCTCCCAAAGGTTTGTATATGTCAAGGCAGCATATAAAAACACAAAACATTTAGTACATCTCTACAGTAAGTGAATTAGGGATGTACCGATACCATTTTTTCGGTATCGATATTTATATTTCGGTACTCGACGATACAGAGTACTAATACCGGTACTTCCGGTAGCATAGAGCCGGCTTCCCGGGCAATCGGAGCCAGGCGGCGTGTCATTACCCGCCACCCGGCTACTTGATTGCCCGGGAAGCCGACTCCATGCTGTTTGGTCGGGAAGCCGGCTTCCCAGGCAATCGGCATTGAGGCCAAACATCTGATAATATGGTGACACAACCGCCACCCTGCAGACACCTCATTCCCCTCTCACATCGATCCTCAGCAGCATTCATCACCGTACCACAGATGTCCCTCCGACAGCTGGGCAGACACCGCTCTCCAAGCTCTCGCGTATCTGCCTACGTCTCCTGCGTGTATAGTACCCGCGTGATCGGGCCTCAGCCTGCTACTGCACATGCGCAGACTGCCCAGCGCTCTCATTCAGACATCCTCTAACAGCATGAAGCCGGCGGTGCTGGCGCTGTACACACAGGAGACGTGGGCAGATCTTGGAGAGAGGTGTCTGCCCAGCTGTCGGAGGGACATCTGTGGTACGGTAATGAATGCTGCTGAGGATCTATGTGAGGGGAATGAGGTGCCTGCAGGGTGGAGGCTGTGTCACCATATTATCACATCTGTTTGGAGGGCTCGATGCTGATTGGCTGGGAAGCCGGCTTCCCGGCCAATCAGCATGGAGTCAGTTTCCTGGCTCCATGTTCCCTTGCGGCTCTGCCAGTCAGAGGAAATCTCCCTCTGACCGGAGGTTCCAGTATCGTGAAAGGTATCGGAGCATTTGGGCCAGTATAGTACTCGCCAAAATACTCGGTATTGGGACCGATACCGATACTAGTTTCGGTATCGGTGCATCCCTAATATAAATAGTTCCCCATGATTTAAACATGATGCGGGTACAGAAAAATAAATGATGTGGCAGGAATATAGGGAGCTGCTCTTTGACAAGGTAATTTATCAAACCTGGAGCAGACAGAATCTGGAGCAGCTGTCCATGACAACCAATCAGCTTCTCTCATTTTCAAATCTTAAGCTGAAGAGTGAAGCTGATTGGTTACTATGGGCAACTGCTCCAGATTCTGTCTGCTGCAGTTTTGATAAATTCCCCTTTGTATTTTTAGCGCTCAATGTCTAAGCATGTGGTGTCAGCCCTGCCTACTTAATTTCTGATGGATCACAAGAACACAGTCATCTCCTCCCCCCTTCCTTGTGCACAGAAAGGTATCGGCTTATTTGTAGCAAAATTGAACAGACGTAACAAAACCCTTCCAACTGTACATAAGGAGGCAAATAGGAGAAATTCAATGTTGGGGTTTCCAAAAGCAGGGACATGCCCCAGGAAACGTTTCACCACAAGTTCTGGTGCTGATGCAGAATATCAGAACCTGTCCGTATAGATGTTCGGGTGGAGTGAAAAGCACCCACCTCATAAATCTCCTTTAAGGGCAAAGCCTTGCATGAATTTTCTCTTAAAGTGGACCTTTTAGTAACTTAAAGGCAAACTCTTGGCTTGTTTTCAATGGAGGAGGTAAGGTTAAAAAAGAAACTTTTGTTGCATTACTTCCCTATAATCTGAACCTGACCCTCTGTACCTCTCTGTCACCACAAGATGTCCTCAGTTTTACAAGTTGAATGATGCCCAGTGTCACTCAAGCTGGAAGACTGAGGGAAGACTGTGAGTGCAGGGCATCATGGCCCCGCCCCTGAGCAGAGTGCCCTACACTCACAGTGTATTGGTGCAGAGAGGGGCACGGCATCATCCAGGACCACCCACTGCTGGGAGAAGATAGAAGAGAAAAAGCATAACTGGAGCATGCTTCAGGGGGTGCACGGAGTCGGGCAAATTTGCATGAATAGCTGCTGATATGTCAAAAATATACCATAACAGTATCATCAAAAAAGAAAGCTTCACCTACCATTATAATGCAGTACTTGTGCTCCAGTGAAGTGACTTCCACTAAGGTGATGTCAACAATCTGTCAAATGGGCTTCCAATAGAGACTACAAGCGGCCATTTTAACACACATTACACAGGCATGGTGCACAGTGCTCACCATCAGGAATCCCGCTCTGAGAGATGACACACAGCCATTGCTGGAATGCATATAGTCAGGAAATCGCTGCAAAGTAGCTGCAGGTGATCAGCAGCACTGAGATGCAACTAAGCAGCAAAAAATATGAAAAAAAGCACTTTATTTAGGGTAAATAGCAATTGTTTATTATACAGAGTTCTTCAGAAAACTAAATGGCATTCAGTTTGAAGTGTCTATAAAGTGCATGCAGATTCCACAGCCCTGTCTGTATAATGAAGGCTCACAGTCTGCCCTCTTGTGGTGGAAAGTGAGATGACAAGCCACAAAAAAAATACCCACTGACTACATCCTCAAGGCGTTTCCTTTCTTTGTGCTGAAAAACATACATTTCAGGCAGAAGGCCAGCTTTATAAAACACACAGGACACCGGCCTCCGTTTACACAAATACCTTTGTGTGACCTTCCCAAGATGGCCAATCTGCCTCTCACAACATGGCTGCCACAGCTGTCTGGGTCATGTGAGGAGGACAGAACCTATCCTGTCACGTGACTGTGGCTCATGTGACTGAGAGTGTAGTGAGCAGTGAGATGAGGGTGGATGGAGCTGGACAGCTGTAGAGGGGAAGGTGAGGTGTGCTCTCTGTCTGTGCAGGTTTAGAGATGCCTTCCAATAAATCCGTGTCTGATGCCCCCATCACCCAGTTCAGGAACTGCCGCATCCTCAGGGAGCACACACTGCAGTGGTGAGTACCACAGGAAGCAGATATACTACGCTGACATGTCTTCCCTTATCTTCTGTTTGTGTTGGGTTCTATAAAAGTCTAAAGATATCAAATCTAAAGGCGTATAATTCACGCTTTGCTTAGTGATGTGGTATTATCATCGGGTAATGTGCAAAGGAGCTCAACACACACACACACACTTGTCAAAAGTATTGGGACACCCCTCCAAATCATTGGATTCCGGTGTTCCAATCACCTCCATGGCCACAGGTGTATAAAACAAAGCACCTCGGCATGCTGACGCTTCCACAAGCATTTGTGAAAGAATGGGTCGCTCTCAGGAGCTCAGTGAATTCCAGCGTGGTACCGTGATAGGTTGTCACCTGTGCAATAAGTCCATCCGTGAAATGTGAAATTTCCTTGCTACTAAATATTCTACGGTCACCTGTTAGTTGTATTATAACAAAGTGAAAGTAACTGGGAACAACGGACACGTGAAATGACAGAGTGGGGTCAGTGCCTGCTGAAGAATGTTGGGGTTTCCAAAAGCAGGGACACGCCCCAGGAAACGTTTCACCACAACTTTGATGCAGAATATCAGAACCTGTCTGTGTAGATGTTCGGGGTGGTGGGGTGCTAGCCTGTTTGTGTCTGTCATCTTCATATCAATACTTGTCAGATCGCTCAGCAGGGAGACGTATGCGGCTGGACAGTGAGTTTTCAGCTCCTCACCTTTTAGTTTGTTTCATCTCATTGGCTCTTTAACCACTTCAGTCCCAGAGCTTCTTCCTGCTGTAGTCTCAGAATGTTCATCTCCAAGGTCCTGTATGTCAGTTTTGTACCCGATAACTTTGCTTTTGTAGTCTGTCCTCTAACACAGTGCTCCCCAACCTTTTTATCGCCGTGGACCGGTCTACAAAATAGTGCATGCAGCATTTTTGCAGATCGCAATGGACCGGAAAACGCAGGCACTAATGTGTTACGGATTCCGGTGCCGCGATCGCACTGCAGGCGGGGGGCGAGGCTTCAGTACCATTGAGTTCAATGGACCACCACGCCCCCTCCTGCCCCAAAACAAAGTGAGCCGCCGGGTTGCATTCCAGAGGCTGAACGCACTGGCACGCACTCCTTATGGTGGGACTGGGCCCTTAGGGCTTGTTCACACAAATTACGGTGCTTTCCAGAGCGGTAGCTGCTGGAACGCACAGCAATCACTCACAAATCTTCCCGCTGAGTTCAGGGGTGGGAGGGGGCGTTGCGGTGCATTGAAGTCAAAGGCACTGCAGCCACCTCCCGTAGTGCGATCGGATGCGTGGCAAAATATTGCCTGCGTTCTGTTCCACTGCAATGCTGCTTGCGCTATTTTTTGTGTTTGCAGTGGAATGGAACGCAGGCAATGTTTTGCCACACTTCCCGATCGCACTGCGGCGGGGGGGGCGAAGCAGTGCCATTGAATTAAATGCACTGCCACGCCCCAGAGCGCAGGGGGAAGTTTTGTGAGCGATTGTGGTGCGTTCCAGCAGCTGCCACTCTGGAACGCATCACAATTGGTGTGAACAAGACCTTAGACACTGAATTCCTTTTTTTTTCCTACCCTGTATTTTTTATATATTGTACAAAGTGCAAAAAAAACTTCAGAAATAAATTAAATGTTAAAGAAAAAAATATATAATAAAAGAAGAGGGCTTCACTAACCTGAACTCCCTGTGTCCCTCCGCCGGTATCAGCCTCCTCCTTGCCCTCCTCCAATGCCACCGATGGCTGCTGCGGCGTCGCTGGCTGCCCTCCAGTCTCCACCACACGCCGGTCGGGCGCTCTCTCTCCTCTCTCTGCAGGAGAGGACATAGGAAGAGGCGGAAGTAGTTCCGGACCGCGTACCGGGGGTTGGGGACCACTGCTCTTACATACACGATATTGCCAAAAGTATTGGGACACCCCTCCAAATCATTGGAGTCAGGTGTTCCAATCACCTCCATGGCCACAGGTGTATAGAATCAAGCACCTCAGCATGCAGACGCTTCTACAAACATTTGTGAAAGAATGGGTCGCTCTCAGGAGCTCAGTGAATTCCAGCGTGGTACCGTGATAGGTTGCCGCCTGTGCAATAACTCCATCCGTGAAATGTCCTTGCTACTAAATATTCCACGGTCACCACGGTTAGTGGTATTATAACGAAGTGGAAGCAACTGGGAACAACGGACACGTGAAATGACAGAGTGGGGTCAGCGCATGCTGAAGCGCACAGTGCACAGAAGTCGCCAACTGTCTGCAGAGTCAATAGCTACAGACCTCCATACTTGGTGAGGCCTTCAGATCAGCACAACAACAGTGCGCAGAGAGCTTCATGGGATGGGTTTCCATGGCCGAGCAACTGCATCCAAGCCTTACATCACCAAGTACAATGCAAAGCGTCGGATGCAGTGGTGTAAAGCACGAGAAGTGGAGACGTGTGACCAATCACGCTTCTCTGTCTGGCAATCACATGGACGTGTCTGGGTTTGGCGGTTGCCAGGAGAACGGTACTTGCCTGACTGCATTGTGCCAAGTGTAAAGTTTGGTGGAGGGGGGATTATGGTGTGCGGTTGTTTTTCAGGGGTTGGGGGGTTGGGCTTGGCCCCTTAGTTCCAGTGAAGGGAACTCTTAAGGTATCAGCATACCAAGACATTTTGGACAATTTCATGCTGCCAAGATCCATAAAGACATGGATGAGCGAGTTTGGGGTGGAGGAACTTGACCCGATAGAACACCTTTGGGATGAATTAGAGCGGAGACTGCGAGCCCGGACTTCTCGTCCAACATCAGTACCTGACCTCACAAATGTGCTTCTGGAAGAATGGTCAAACATTCCCATAGACACACTCCTAAACCTTGGGGACGCCTTCCCAGAAGAGTTGAAGCTGTTATAGCTGCAAAGGGCGGGCCAACATAATATTGAACCCTACCGACTAAGAATCGGATGCCATTAAAGTTTATGTGCGTGTAAAGGCCGGCGCCCCAATACTTTTGGCAATATAATGTATATGTGTGTCTTTCCAAACCCTAACCGAATCACATTTCGTCTGCTATAGCACTGTGTGTCATAAACACGGCCATCTCTATAATGAGGCAGAATGAGGATAGGCGGCTATTGCCTCAAGTGGCATCTTTGGGTCATGTGGGGGGTATGGCAGGTAGAGCAGCATGGCTGCTCTGCTGCACAATGTTTGCAGTGTGCCTGCCGCCCCCTTTCCGTCCAGAGCGTCCCAGGTTGCTAAGAGCTCAGCGCGGAGGTGTGTAAGGGCCAAACATAACTCCCTGCCTAGCTCTTAGCAACCTGGGAGTCTCTGGCTGGCATGCCGCCCAGCTCCTGGCAATTGTGGTGTCACTGGTTGCCAGGAGCTAAGCTAGATGTTCTGGCTGATGACCCACCCAGCTCCTAGCAACCAGTGACGTCTCTCCGAGCTGGGCAGGACATCAGCCAGAGCCGGATGATGTGCACCACTCAAACCCCCGCCCCACGTGGAAAAGTAGCTCATGTAGCAGATTTTTTCCCTGCGCATTTGTGTGCATTTACCACGTGTCCACACACTTTAGGGAAGCCTAAAGACCTTTTATTTGGACCACTCAACAGAACTAGAAGATGGCTAGACCTTCTAAAATCCTTAATAAATTCCAAATATCTCAAAAAACAATTTGTTCCATCTAGAAAATGGAACTGTTCTTCCTTTTGATTTTTCGGGGTTTTGCAGAAAGTCAATAGAATCACTTTCTTGTGACCTATGGAAAGACAATGATACTTTGGGAAGGTGCATAGACACCCTATCTTGGAAGATGGTCAAGTATGCGTCCTTACGGGACAGAGCTTTCAACTGTCCAGCCTTCTTGCAGAAAAAGAATGGTGAGCAGGAAAGTTATTTATATGTTAAATACTTTGGAGAACAGTCACTGATGGGGTCAAAAGGTTCTTACGTGAGGGCATTCAATGCAAGAGTTTATTCCCAGGTAGTCTGAACAATTCTTGGTGTGCTGCGCTCTCTGGCTATAAGGAATCTCTTGATCAGGGATCTTCTGCTAGTTTCCAAAAATATTGATAGAGGATGAGGGTGGTGGGAGTGACTTGGAACCACTGTTTGGCTTTTGCTTGCTGTTGAAGGTGGAGCCAATCATCTCTTAGGTAGCTGTCTTAGAGAATGATTATGGGAAATCTGTTTATCACAGAATGGGTACACAGTATATAGTGTACACTCAGTATATGAGTGTATGTTTTGAAGAATAGAAGTTGAAAGGGAACCAAAGAACTGTGACTTGTTTTCAAAGGTGCAGCCTTAAAGTGTTGGCCCCATCTTTTCTTCAGCACCTAGTGAGGCACAGCCCCAGAAGAAGCCTCCAGGGACCTTGGACCTAAAAGCTTCTTCCAGCCCAGAGGCTTGCTATCTAGAGATGGAAGAATATTGACCTTGGTACTTGCACCTTTAAAAACAATTTGGTGGAGGCAGCTTCCATATTCTACTAACAGGCTCCTTTTCTTCTGAAGTCTCCTCTCTGTCCCTTACTGTTGCAGGGAGGATCTATGGGTGCGACAGGGGAAGATCCTTAATCCTGAAAAGCTTTTCTTTGATGAGAAAGGGGCTGCTGATGTCAAGGTGGACTGCCATGGAAGAATCATTGCACCGGGATTTATTGACACACAGATCAATGGTAAGACATTCACATCTAGAAGAGCCTCTGGTCTGCAAGAAGGAGAATTATGCTGCCCTTGTATGCCTGAATGACTTGTTTTAAAGGGGAAATAGAATAGTTTCGAGTATAGGATATGCAGACCCTGAAATGGGTCATCCCATCATGGCCTATGGGCCATTTTAATGGGTCAGACCATGAAATGGGTCTACCCCAAACTCTTAAATGGGTCAGCCTCATGTAAAATTAGGTGCTAAACGTCAGTAGGTGCTCCTATATGCCCTAAAGACTGCATAAGTCCTCACTCCTTGCTCCATGCTGGTAGTTGTCATCCACCCCATGTAACTAGACTAATTCCCAAGGGGCAATTCATTACAGCCCAACATAACTGCTCCTCGATAGAAGGCTTTGGTGAAGAAGCAAAAGATAGATTTTACAATAGAGGTTACAGTGGGGAAGCCGTGGACCAGGCATATCATTATGCAAGGAACAAAAATAGAAAGAAACTGTTGAAGGAAAATTGAGAGATCATCATAGAGACAGATCTTTAACATCACAGTGTAGAATCTGAGGAGATAAGACGTATAATCCGTAGATATTTACCTTCACTACATGGTGATATCTCTTTAAGAAAGATCTTGATGTCCGGAGTATTATTACTATCTAAAAAAGCTCCAATGTTAGGAAAAGGATTATAATTTGTTAAGCATGAAAGAAGAAGAAAAAAATTCACATGGATACACACTATAGGTATGTTTAGCTGTGGCAGCTTGAGACGTTCTTCTTGTTTATATATGGTGGATGCCGTCCATTCATATAGTACAAGTCAATCTTACACCATCAAAAACATTCCTCAATTGCTACTAAATATGTAAATGATTTCATTTCTTGTGATGTTTGTCACTTACAATATGTTGGCGGAACGACCAGGTGACCATGTGACTGTTTTGGCGATCACCTTTCTAACATTAGAACTAATAAACCACCAGACATTCGATTGATGAGAATAATTCCAATGCTGCATCTATGAATGTACGAAGAAAGAATAGTCAATCCAGTGGGAGGAGGAGATTTACTATACTCCGTAGATGAGACATTGAATGGATCTTCATGCTTGGAATTAGATTTCCCCAAGGAAAATCTATTTGCCCTCCCCTTCCCCTTTCACTCTCCTGCTTCCCTTCCTACCCACCCCCTCCCCTTTCCCTTTCCTGCCCTCTTCCTCTTTCTGACTTCCTTTTTTCTCTTCATCCTTTAATCCTGTATACATTATATATAGGAAAACTAAAAGTTCCAGCACACCACTATATATTGTATATTATACACCAGAAGACTACATCTCTCTCTCTCTCTCTCTCTCTCTATATATATATATATATAGAGAGATATATAGAGAGATATATCTATATATATATATATACATATATAGCTATATATACACACACACACACACACACACACTTCCTGCATACACTGTACATTAATTATACACTGGGGGACTACAAGTCCCAGTATGTTCTGTATATTATACACAAGGGGACTGCAAGTGTGGACTGGAGGGAAAGCGTCCAGAAGCCTCCTGAGTTGTGACATGTATCCTGGGAGGCTGCAGGCAGGGTTGATAGGTGGGCCAGGTGAGGAATAAGTAAGTGAACCTCGGCAAAAGTAAAAGAAAAAAAAAAATCAAGTCTTAGTTTAAAGGGTTTGTCCACCCAATAGAGATTCTTGAGCTATAGGTGAAATCAGGCTGACTCCACCCTCGTGTTTTTTATGTATCTCAGGCCCTTCAATAAGGGGTCTCTCTTTCCAACTCTGTTCCTTTGCAGGTACCTATAGTATAAATTAAATAGGATGTCCAGGAATTAACACTTAGTGCCCCCTGCACTCCGCGGGTTAACTGCCCATATTGGTCTAGGGGACGGTATAAAGAAGATATACTCACCCTTCCAACAATTTATAGCTGCAAGATCCATTATCATACTTCCAGAATGGAACAGCTCAGCAGGTCTGACTAAGACTATTACAGCTTTAGAGAGAATCTTTCATCAATGTGCATATCTGTGCAAGAAGCCCCCCGATGGAAGCTGGCAGCTTCCAGCTTTTATTTTAGGTATTTAGCAGGATGACGTCACCATTAACATAATATTGTACACAGATGCGGGCCACGGACAAGTCTTCACCACCTTTTATATTTTAGGTGGCTTCGGTGTGGATTTTTCCCAGGAAACAGATAACGTTAAAGAAGGGATTTCTCTGGTTGCTCGTAGCATCCTGTCACACGGAGTGACCTCTTTCTGTCCGACCCTGGTGACATCGCCCACAACGCTTTACCACAAGGTATGAACTAAGAAGGATTGTAGCGGCCTACATCTGGAGTCACACAAGAGTTTTATGGCTGCGGCTTTTATTTTTAATGGAACGTTTCAAATCGGAGGATCTTATTTAAAGCCTCCTGTAGACCGGTCACTGCTGCTCTCTCTGCTTGTGCTGGGTTGACTGGTCTTGTCTCCACCACCTCCTGTAATAAAGACCGGTCACTGCTGCTCTCTCTGCTTGTGCAGGGTGACTGGTCTTGTCTCCACCACCTCCTGTAATAAAGAACAGTCACTGCTGCTCTCTCTGCTTGTGCAGGGTGACTGGTCTTGTCTCCACCACCTCCTGTAATAAAGACCGGTCACTGCTGCTCTCTCTGCTTGTGCTGGGTTGACTGGTCTTGTCTCCACCACCTCCTGTAATAAAGACCGGTCACTGCTGCTCTCTCTGCTTGTGCAGGGTGACTGGTCTTGTCTCCACCACCTCCTGTAATAAAGACCGGTCACTGCTGCTCTCTCTGCTTGTGCAGGGTGACTGGTCTTGTCTCCGCCCCTCTTCTAGTTTTCTGCAGCCTGGGCTGCTCTCCACAACTCTGCTCTCTGCACAGGTTAAAAATGTAGAGTTTGTCTTGGTGTCGGCCTCCTGTAATGTAGACTAGCAACCCTCAAAGCCATTCCTGCTTTCTGCTTGCACGTGTGCTGGCATTGGATGGCAGAGTGCCAAAACCAGATCAAGGGATGTAAAGTCACCAGGACTCTAGACATGTAATTATGCTGCCTTGAGAAAAGGGACCCTGCAAGGTCCTGAAAAGTGGGTATATATGTATGTGACACTGTTTTTCACAATGATTAAATGCCTAGAGTACTGCTGACTTTATGTGCCTTTATCTGAACAGGAACATGTTATGAGGAGGAAATAGTACTGGGGTGACCTTGTCAGTCTGCTGCTGCTCCTTTACTGTCCAGTCACAGGCAGGGAGGTGACCTAGCTGTGTTGCTTGACTGTAAAAAGTCAGGTCACCAAGCTAAATGTGCTATCTGGCAGGTCAATGTAAATCTTAGAACTGGATGGACAGAAATAAAAAATCTTTTGGCAGGTAAAATATATTTCAAATGTGTGTTTAGCTGTTTGGCTGAGGTTCAACTTTACGGCCTCATTCACACTTTGCTATTTGGGATTCCTGCTGCAGGAGTCCCAAATGTTCAATTTAGATGTGGCCACTGTCACCCATTCAAGTTAATGAATGGGTAACAGTGGCAGCATCTGTAAGTGACAGTCCACATGTAATTGTATGTGATACAATTATGTGCAGTTTGGTATAGATCACTGTCACTGGACGCATGATAGATGTGTGCCACAACATTGATCTATTCCAAACTGCATGTCATCATATCATATACGTTTACATGTGGACAGTTACAGATGTAGCCTCTGTCACCCGGTCATTAAATTGAATTGGTGACAGCTGCTTCATCTAAATGGGTGATTAGGTTTCCTGCTCCAGGAATTTGTAGGTTCCTGCAGCAGGAGTTCCAAATTGCACAGTGTGAATGTTGCCTAATTCTCTGTAGGGTTATTTATGTTCCCTCCTACATTGAGTGGCATTTCTCTGCAGACTTTTATGCTCTTCTACCTAATGCTGCATAGTCTCATATCATAAGATCATGACCTTCGGTCTTCAGGTTTTGTTTTCTGCAACTTTTGCTGTTTGGTTTTCATTATACTGTTGTTCATTCTGCAACAGCTGCCAATACCTGAAGTATGGGTGTTGGATATGGCACCTTGCCCTCCTATCTTTACAAGTCTCTGTATCTGGTGACCTAATATATAATATCTCTACATAATTCTGTTTCTGCACTAGCCTGTGCTAACCTCCTCAGCCTCTGTTTTGGTCATTGAGGCCACTCTAAAGGACCAATAATGAGGCTCCGAAGTGGTGCAAGTGATGGGACCAACCTTGACATACATTAAAGAATGGAAGCCACACTTAAAAGTAGTGATGCGCCGATACTAATATCGGTATCTGTGCCGATACAGAGTATTTGGGCAAGTACTCGTAAGTGTTCCCGATGCCTATCCCGCTACCGGAACTGCCGGTATCATGAAGCCAGGCAGCTTTTTATTACACTCGGCCCGGCTTCTTGATTGGTGACGAGGGAGCATGGAGCTGGCTTCCCGGCCAATTGGGAAGCCAGGTGGCGTGTAATGACTCGTCACCCAACTTCCTGATTGGTTGGGAAGCTGGCCAATGAGGAAGCTGGGCGGCGAGTCATTACCCTCCCCCCAGCTTCCTGGTTGGCCAGAAAGCCGACTCCATGCTTCCTCGTCACCTGGTGACGAGGGAGCATGGAGACGGCTTCCCGGCTAATCGGGAAGCCGGGCAGCAAGTCATTACACGGCGCCCGGAAATCCCTAATGGGACTTGCAGTATCCATATTCTGTATTGGCGAGTACCATAAAAAAAAATATCGGTACTCGTTACCGAAAATCCGGTATTGGTGCATCCCTACTTCAAAGTTCTTCACACTGCAAAGAACTTTATTCAGTGCCAAGATCCTAGATTGCCCACCAGGGCTCCTTCCTCTAATGTGTTTCACTCACAATAGCTCTATGAGTAAAACGAGTCATACGGAGGTGCCTAGGCGAGTTGTTCAAGTTTTCATAGCTGAATAAAGATTATTGCAGTGGGAAAAACTTTGGAGTCTGGCTTCCATTATTTTATATGTGTACATGGAGATGAATGTAGGGACAAGCAATCAAGAGCACTACTAGGTGTCCCGGGGATATTGACTTGGAGCAGAAATGTAGGATGGGGCCCACCTTGACTGGAAAATTTTAAGAGTTGAATGGATGTCCATGTCTCCGCATCTATTGGTTGTTTGGGCAAGCGATTTCCACTTCAGATAACCTCTACTTGTGGAATTTTTCAACATATGTCCCATTTAAGATGCACAGTTTTTGGGTAGAATGTGGAAAAGTTAGAAACTCTCAGGTGTTTGTTGCTGTCCGTGTCCACATTGGGTAGATTTTTCCTCACTTCCTGCCTTAGTGACGGCTGCCACCAAGAAAAGAGGGGACATTTTTCTGGGGAAAAGACAGCAAAAAAAAACAACTTATTATTTTTCCAAAGCTCCAGGATATGCCTTCACCTTAAAGCCAACATTGTTTTTGTGATCCACCAAGAACAGAATTTTCTAGTGTGGATAGTGTTCACCTTTTCATTTTTCCAATCGTTTGTCCATTTGTGGCCCTAAACCTCTTCTTTATTTCCAGGTGATTCCTCAGATAACTGTGAATGCTGGAGGTCCACAAGGATCTGGAGTGCTGGGTAATAATCTTCTGCTTTGTACATTCAAACCAAAAGCCATCAGCAAGTTATCTACTGAGATAGGCAATTTCATTTTTTTTCCTCCTTCTGTGGGAGAGAATTCCACAGAAAATTATGATAGGAGGATCAAGATTTCTGGATAGATCAAGGCTAACATGATCAAAGTCTGTGCAGACCACTGCCGAATTGTGACATACCTCTGTGTTAAATGTCTGCTCACCTACCAAAACAATGTCCTTGGCAGCAGTCAATACCAATAGGAACCTCTGGGGTACACAGTGTCCTTTGGTAGTTCACAATGATGATACTAAAGATTATAATAAGAAGATGAATTTGTTGATGATACTTTGCCAGGTCAAATAGGTTCTCCAATCATGGCTAAAAACCACGCTGCAGTACTTGAAGCCTCAACTGAGGGGGTAGCACCAGGGGCTTCTATTTGCTACAAACACAAACACGCAGTTGTAGTTCAACACCAACTCTACTCTTAGCTGATATTTTCATTTTGCAAGATATCTTTAATTGCTAGTATTGAGATATTCCTGTGGCCACAACATACCAAGAATAATGGTTTTGCACACTCTGGCTGGATGCTTTGCCAGTTGGGGCAGACAGTTGTTGGACATATACATGTGTGTTAAGGCCTTAGGTGAGGGAGTGGAGACACAAGCCATTGTTGTATCAAATTTTTTTTTTCTCCTTTGAGTAAAATAATATCTGGTGATCCGGCCATGAAGGTTCCAGTTCAGGCACTCCCTTTTATAGCGTGACAATGTTCTGTCTCCCAATTGCCCTCAAATGCACAGGTACTGTTTTTTTGGTATCGGGTACTGATATTTTTTTTTCGGTACTCGCCGATACGAAGTAACGATACCGGTGCCATGTGGCCAGATCAGGAATTTGGGCGGCAGATCATGACCAGTCGCCCGGCTTCCTGATTGCCTGTGAAGCCACTGTTCTAGCGAAAGAACACCGGCTTCACTTGCCCAGGCAGCCTGGCTTGCTGACCAATCAGAAAGCCGGGCGGCGCGTCATGATGTGCTGTCCGGCTTCCTGACTGGTCAGCAAGCCAGGCTGCCTAGCAACAAGTGAAGCTGGCTTCCTAGCCAATCAGGAAGCCGGGAGGCGGGTCATAACCGATCACCTGGCTTCGTGATTGGAAAGGATGTCGGCTCCATGCTCCCTCGGCACATACCGGAAGTTCCGGTATCGGTTTAGATCTACTTTAACGTATCACCTGTCAATGACAATCAGCCTGTTGGTAATCCTGGTCTTCAGCTTGTTTTGTTTTCTCATCAGTTTAGGTCTACTAAAAGTGGCAGTCTGGCAATAAATGTTGCTTTCCATGGGACACCTGACATTTCTAGGTATTTGTGGAACTTTCTGATTACTAAATGAGCTCTATATGCTTGGCAGGTGTCCACCTGGAAGGTCCGTTCATCAGCTCGGAGAAGAAGGGAGCCCATCCGGAGCACTGTCTACGGTCGTACAGGGAGAGGGGTTTCTCAGAATTAATGGACACTTATGGGACCCTAGATGGGGTCAGCATTGTGACTTTGGCCCCAGAAATGGAAAAGAGTAAAGAGGTGATCGAGGAACTAGTACAGCGCGGAATGCGTGTCTCCTTAGGTAGATATATATGCCTAGTAACTGCACCTAAGATTGGTTTCTCTGTCTTGGATAATGTGGGCCAAGGTTAGAGTCATCAGCAGGGAGATGACTATTCAGGTGAGCTACATGTGTGAACAGACTCTGAACTCTTCATATATTTCTATGGAGAAATAACTAGATGCAGTATTTTAAGTTGGTGGATCCTCCACAGTAATACAGGAAAGACATGCAGAGACCACAGCAGCTTCCATGAAAAGCCATGCACAGGTTGCCACCGCTATGTCACAGTGGGCATGAGATCTCTGTATCAAGATGCTGGACAGCAGTAGCACCCTTCTTGGAGCTCAAAAGTACGTAATCTGTTTTTATAGTAAAAATGTGGCCTATTCTGAGCAAGAAGTAAATACACTTTAAAGCGAGTCCTTACTGACCTCTTTCGATGCATGCATTGTGGTGGAATTCCTTGTCAAAGTTGCCATCTGAAGCTTCTCAATTTCACTTTGTAGCTTGGTTTCCTCTGCCAGCAGTGATTCGGCAGCTTACTAGTCTTTTCATCTCCAATATAAACCATTAGCAAGTGCAAATTGCTCCACAGTGGCTGTAACTACAACGGTCAGTGAAGATTCCCTTTAAAGCTGAACTCTAGGCAACCCGGAGTTGTATTTCTATATCCATTCCAGAGATTTATTGGAGTCCAACTGTAAAACTTATTTACTGCATGTTCTAGTATAACTCACCTCCCCTTGCTCCTTCTCCTCCACAGACATCTTCTTCAGGGTGCCGGGTCTTTGGTAGACTTGATTGGCCAGTGGGGGATGTGCATGCGCATGGGAGTACATTCGCCCACGCACAGAGGTGTGCTAAGAATGCCCAGTGAGCTGCGCATGTGCACGAAAGAAGATTGTGACCAGGCGTGTATGTTTGTTTTATTGCAGAAGAGACCTAGGCTATGTCTCTTTATTGCAGAAGACACATGCTGCGTTACATAGCATGTGTCTTCTGCAATAAAATACCTACCTGCTTGCAATTTTCTTTTAAAGCTTAGTTCCACTATAGGTAAATATTTGAATATCCATAGTCTGGCTTCAGTTCTACTTTAAGGAAGAACTCCAGGCAGTTAAAAAATTAACTCTTGCAGTGGGGCTACCCCCACACTGCAAGGGTTTAGTACTCCTTTTAGTCTAGGGTCTAAAATAAAAGATATACTCGCCCAATCCTCAGTTGTGCCTGGTTGCTAGATTGGTCTCCACAGCTTCTTTTTCCCCAGGCTCTGGTGGTCTAAGGACCTGTGACATCATCATGTCTATACAGTCTATTAGACATGAGGATGCCGAGAGATATTCCTCAGTGGAGCGGAGTGGGAGAGAGATGAGTGGTCACCACTAGGGGACCGAGGATCAGGTGAGTATTTCTTCTTTATTTTACACCCTAGACCAAAACAAGCACTTAACCCTGGCAGTGCAAAGGTAAAAAAAAATTAACCCCCCTGCAAGAGTTTAATTTTTTAACTACCCAGAGTTCTTCTTTAAGGAAATATTATGTTTCAATGATAGATATATTTAGACCTAATTGAATTCTAGTCTTTCAGTTGTAGCTTAGAACAAATGTTGGAGAGAAATATTGGTGATGTGTGTTATTGGTCCTCAGGTCACTCCGTGGCTAATTTATCTCAGGCAGAAGATGCTGTGAATTACGGGGCTTCATTTATTACTCATCTCTTCAATGCCATGCTACCGGTAAGTCCATCCTTCCTGCTTGTGGTGTCTCTAAATGGCTGAATGTGCATGTCGGGGATTTATACTTCACCTTTTAGTTCAACTTTTTGTTTCAGAATGGATTGCAAGGAATTATGGGTCATTTTCTATATACACTACCTAGCCCAGGGGTGCACATTAGGTTGATCGATCTACCAGTCAATCACAAAGCAAACACTGGTAGATCGCGATCGGCTCGCTGACCTGAGCTGCCTCCCGCGGTTCTAGTGCGGCTGAATGTGTCAGAATCTGCAGACGGGAAGGGTGCGGCACACCTCTCCCAGTCTGCAGCGTCAGACACATTCGGCCACACTATCACCAGTGCGGGGCAGGACACCCCTCCCAGTCTGCAGTGTCAGACACATTCGGCCACACTATCACCAGTGCGGGGCAGGACACCCCTCCCAGTCTGCAGTGTCAGACACATTCGGCCACACTATCACCAGTGCGGGGCAGGACGCCCCTCCCAGTCTGCAGCGTCGGACAAATTTGCCCACACTAGCAGCGCAGGAGACAGCTCACATGGGAGAAGAGCCGGGAGGCTGCTGCAGTGCAGGTAAGGAAAGACAGTCGGAGGAGAGGGAGAGAGGAGAGGCAGAGGAGAGATAGAGGAAGACAGCCAGCAGAGAGAGAGATGAGACAGCAGGACAGAGGAGAGATGTCAGAGGAGAGAGAGAGAGGAAGACACAGCTAGGAGAGATGGTCAAAGGAGAGACAGTCAGAAGAGAGGAGAGACAGCCAGGAGGATGAAAGAGGAGAGATAGCCAGGGCAGAGAGAGAGAAGGGACAGCCAGGAGAGAGAGCGAGGAGAGACAGCCAGGCGAGAGAGCGAGGAGAGACAGCCAGGAGGATGAGAGGCGTGATAGCCATGGCAGAGAGAGAGAGATAGCCATGGCAGAGAGAGAGAAGATACAGCCAGGCGAGAGATACAGGAGTCCCAGTAACGATGTTAATGTGCTTGTTTTTTAAACGTGTTTTTTTCATTGGCAGAGCTATTTGTCCTGCAAAACTGTATGTACATTTATTCTGCAGGAATAGAGACAACAATGAATGTTATAAGTATATTTTCTTTCCAGGGGATGTAATACCAGTAAAATACCGCAATATGGCCACTAGATGGAGCTGAGGGGCATAGGAAAGAAGTATTTAATTACGATGCTCCCCAGCTCCATCTAGTGGCCATAATGCTGTTGTATCCTTATATTAACCAGTTGACATCCGCGGTGTTAAACCCCCTTCCCATCCAGGCCATTTTTCAGTATTCAGCGCTGCGGTACTTTAACTGACATTTATTCCGTCATGCAGCGCTGTACTGAAATGAATTTTATACCCTTTTTTGGGGACAGATAGAGCTTTCTTTTGGTGGTATTTATTCACCACTGGGGGTTTTATTTTTTTACTATATTAAGGAAAAATTACCAAAATTTAAAAAAAAAAAACAGTTTCCCCTATATTAAATGATAAAACATTTATTATTACCCAATTTTTTGGTAAAATATAAAAGACGGGGTCACGTCGGGTAAAAAGACACTAAACATGTCAAGCCTTAAAATTGCGTGCGCGCGCGAAACCTCAAAAAACGATAATACCCAAAATTGGCCCTAGGCGACGCTTTAAAAGCTGTTACCGCTCATCAGTTTAGTGTTATCAGTGATTGATGGCCCTAAAATGATTGCTCTCACTGCGACGTTCGCGGCGATATGTAACATGTGTAGCGCAATTGTAATTTTTGCGCGCTGGGGCACCGGACGCGTATTTACGTTTATAGGCGCGTAAACGTGGGGGTGGGGGAGTTAAACATTTTGGGGGGGTTTTTTCCCCTTTTTTTATATGTGGCTTTTATTTTATTTTATTTTTTTATGTGTTACTTTTCTTTTTTTTTATTTATATTTTTTTTTTTGCACTTATTGTTATTGCTATTATATAGGGGGATAACAACCCCCTATATAATAGCAAAGGCACACTGACAGGTCCTCTTTATGGAGATATTAGGGGTCTCTAGGACCCCTAATATCACCTATGGACCCCAAAAGAAGCTGATAAAGCAGAGATCTGCTTTATCAGCTTCTTCTCTCTCCAGATGACTGACAGGTGAATGCAGAAGTGATGTAACACACATCACTTCTGCATTCACAGCCCGGACGGGGATCACCAAGGAGCTGATCTCCCGTCGTCCTCCTCCTGACGCCCTCGGAGCCGGTCCCGGCTATGGACCCGCTGATCGCCTATATGTGAAACACCCGGTACCGGGTGTTCGC